GTTTTTGACGTTAACCTCTGTTATAGCGTTAGGTTAGGTTAGGTCCTAATCCGCCTTTAAAACTCATAAAACCACCCGAAGTCGATCAATCATTTTAATCATTAAAAGTTTTACAAGATTTCGATTTAGTTTTATACTATTTGTTTTTTCGTATCAAACACGTCTTAGTTATTTTTCAATAWACTGTTAGCTTATATAGTTGAGCTTTTCACGTTACCTTTTATGGTCAATTTATAACGAATTTACTGCCATTTTTCCAATTATCTTAGAATATAATTTATTTGAGTTTCTTTTCTTGTCATTTTTTCGTGATTATTGGGAATTATTAAATTTAAGATGACTATTTGTATATTTAAACGAGAACGACTTTTCATTGGAAACTTAGATGGAAATGTGTTGTATATTTTTTAATTTTCTTTTACGATCTAAAGTTAAGACTAATCGAGCTATTTAGATATTTCGTATTGAAGTTGTGGCTTGGAAAAATAATGGAAAAAATAAATTATTTGTTGTTTAAAGTATCTATTGTGGATATTTGTATTATTATTTTTTAACACATTCAACTTAATCCATGTGTTTCAGCTGAGGCTTTATTTTAGGATATCTTTCTTGTGCATTTTAAATCTGTAGTTCAAAAAGTCATTGTTTTTGGTACCTATCCAAACTATTATGTTTTTAATTTAATTTGCAGTCATTAGATCACTGGTAAAATGTGAAAACATGAACGCATTTTGTGATCAATCGCGTCGATTGATAGTGGTGTACTCGCCGACACCATTAACTGCAGATGACTTTTTATATTGTGTCCTATCGGTTTTGTATTCATTGTCTTCGTTGTCATGTAGTTAAAAATATTGTCTATGTCTCTGTACTTATGTACAATTCGTATCAATTTAGAAAAATAATCCACAAACGTCTTAAAAAACAAAAACAAAAGAAAACACCCTAAACGTAATGTTTTCTAAATATTATATAGTACGCCCTTCGGTTTCGTGCCTGTTCGTATTGTTGGTACGGCGTCAGTGAGTAGTTGACGGTTATCTGATGGCACCGCGTGGTGGCCGACGTGCAGCCTTCCCGGCACGACGACCACGTACACTTGCTCAAGCCGGCCGCGAACACGTGCTCATGCAGCGCGCACGTGCCGGGCTCGGGCGCGTACCGGGCGATCAGCCTGGACACCGCGGGGTCGACGACGAACGGCACGAGGAACAGGAACACCATGAACGACAGCACGGCCGTGGTGCCCAGGCACAGGCTCACTTTTGGCTTGATGCGCTCACAGAACCCATCCTCGGCCGGTTCGCCGAGCAGTCTCGATCCTTCGTCCTGGCTGGGCAGTCGGCTCCGCATTTCCCTCTCGTCGTCAGCGACATTTCCGGCCATAATTTCCCTTAGTTAGTCGCTATATCTGCGGAGGACAAAAGAAAATCACTCGTGTTGATTATATATAGCTACATGATTCGACGGTGGTCGGCTCATCAATGATGTGTATATATTGTAAGAGTTTTTGAAAATTCAGAGTAAAGTCTTGATAAAAATTTCAGGAATCGGAGTTTTAAAAATGCCATAGTTAGAATATAAAATTTGGTCGAGCTTACTATACTTAAATAGTTCTGTATATTATATAATAGGCAATCTATCGAATTTCACAGTATTGAGGAATTGCGCAGCAAAGATTTAAACGACATGATATTTATTGATTTCGGGTTTAAATCGATTATTTCTGAATCTCGTCTTCCCGATTTCACATATTTTATTCTTCTAATCTATACTATAATAAAACAAATTCAATAATAATAATATTTTTTCAATAGTTGATTTTGAATAATTATCGATTTTACTCGATTTCGGTTTGGTAAACTTAGACTTTAAAAACTCCTGCAGCCAACCTCTACCCTGTAATACGTACGTGGAGTATACAAATTTAAAAACATATTCAATTTTTACTTTGAAAACTATACTTAATTTATGCTAATATTATACTAAAATTTGTGTTAGGCACCTACTCATTTTAATAATAGGTTAGGTGAGACATTTTCAGAATTTTAAAAAAGGAGTTGTATTGCTTTTTAAAACCAAAAACTCTAGTATAATAATGTATAACCTCTTAAGCATGGTTAAAAATTTAAAATAAAACATTTTAACAATGTAATAATTKATCGTGTATATATTTATAAGTATAATTTACGTTGGTTTCACTATCGTTAAGCAACAGAAATTATGTGTACATATAATTATATCGAATATAATAATATATATATTTTTTATAAATTGTTAGTTGTAAAAAATGTCTAGGATATATTATAATATATCAATATTAACAACAATATTATTATGTATAGCATGCGTGTTTGAACTCATGTACAAAATTAGTGCAAATCACAATATTATTATTTTAGACCGTATTTTGTTGATACCGGTGAACGAGATTTCCACACAGAAGAATGACAACGTAAATAATACGATATACAATAATATACAATAATACAAACATTTACAAACATCGGTCTAAAAGCGCATCGTTTAAAAACTATACGCACCTATGGTATTCAATTACGTTCTACTWATACCACTATAGAAACGCTTGTATTGTAAATCGGACTTAGATATTATCCTTAGAAGTTATAACAACATTTAACGTGTATAAAATAACATAACAAATAATATTACAATCATAAATAATTACAATGAGTATAAACTTAATATTGAACAATTGTTTATATTTAAAAATAGTATCTTACAATATAACTTACTTTATATATATATATGCGCACCTATATACTGTTATCGTAGGTGTACAAGAATTTAGTATATTATTATTTATTATTATATTTTCAGTGATATCATTGCTTTTAATTGGTTTAAAGTAGGTACAGCAAAAAATGTCTTGTCGCTGCGCATACATCTATAAAAGTACATAAAGCTTAT